TCAGATTCTTTGGGTTTTGAGGTGTTTCAAATGATATTAAAGACATGTTAGCTTGGTCTTTTCAGCTGGTGCAATCTTAAATCTCGTGTAAATTATAATATGAGAATATTAAGAATATTAAAATTTTGAATGATGAAGATATTGATATTTTAATTCCATACTGAGATAATATGCAATTATTGAACTCACGGCAATTTAAGTACTGAGCGAGTGATGCTTAAACTCTAAGGCATGACACTTATATGATAAGAAATGATCAAATTTATTATTATTTGCATATCGATAAAGAAAAAAATAGATTATGATACATACCTTGACAAAACAATCATGGAAGTACATGCGAATAAGTGCAGCTGCAATTGTTCGATCCTTGATGAATTTTTTTGTGACTTCTTGAGTGACAATCGACTCGACGTTATTCAAACCACATTTTCTGTCATAAAATCCTATTTGAAGAGCAGCATGACATTGGCCTGTCAAGTTTATAGAGATAACAACAAGAACTAGTGCCAGTGCAGCAAAACCAGCCATCTCCGCCGTCCTAATTAATCTTAGGAACGAGTACTATCTCATGGAAGACAAACACATTTTTGGTATCTATATATAAGCGTCTTAAAAGTATAGGTTAATGCATTTGTTAACGAAAGGAATGGCGAGCATGATGGTAAAACGTGCTGTCATGTATATACAGCTTCAAATATGCAATATCTTAAATTGGGTCAAACAAGATTGATTTTAAATCTTTATAAGCTCAAGAAAAGACCAAAAGGAAAAACAAAAGCTCAGAAGATTTCTCTTTCTCTTTCTCTTTCTCTTTCTTATTTGAGATAGTTGATTATATAACTGTATAAAATGAAGGTGGTGTTATTTTAATCATGTATAATATTTGATGAAAGACAGATAGCTAGCTGCATATCGACTTCTATGTATATAAATATATAAATGGAGTTGAAGGGTTGATATATAATTGACTCAAAATTTATAAATAAATGATAATGGTGAAAATAATATAAATATAAAAATGGTAAATTATTAAATTAATCTTAAAATTTAATTTATTTTTTTTTACAATAGATATTTTTTTATTACAGTTTAGTTTTTTTATTAAACTAATAAATTAATAACAATATTAGTTCTATTTTTAATTATTAATTTAGTTAGTTATTAAAGAATTTTTTAAATTATTTTAAAAAATTTAAATATTAACTAAATATTTTAAAATTTTCTATTAAAAATAAAAAGGACTAGAGAGCAAATTATAATAAAAAAATATTAAAAATCAAATTGTATTAAATATCAAATCTAAAAAATTAATTTGATAATTTACTATAAAAATTTGAACAATAATAATATTGTAATTTTATATTTTAAATTAGTTGCTTCTGTAACTTATATTTTTACTAGTAAAATTATAATTTCGCTATTATATAATTAAAAGTAAAAGATGCAATTAGATATTCAAAATATAAATTATATTTAGAATTTAATAATTGAATAAAATTATAATATATATATATATATATTTGCTGTTCAAGTTTAGAAAAGAGAAAATTCAGTTATAAGAATATACAAGTTTCTTGTCTTATAAAACTGTGAAAGATATCTACCTTCCAATTTTATTCTATTTCATCCCATCATTTTATTTCTTTCTTTTGCTACCCTAACATACTTCTACTCCTTTTTACCAAGGGTAAATTTAATTATGAGGATGCCAATTAACGAATAGACAACATCCATCTAGCCACATAGCATCTATATGATCTAAGAGTGAAGTGTGTATTTTTGTACATATAATGCCAAAAGAGAAAATTGAGTAATAATGATTCGTCATAAAATAATTTGGTGACTAATAGGGTTTTAGTTAAATTCCACTTTAAAAATCAAAATAACAAGTTTTTGCTAATAAGATTTTATTTTAGAAATTAGAGATGATAATTTTGTTATTTACTAAAGCATCAGAGTGTGTGTTTTGGTATTATTTGCAAGATTATATTATTTTTAATTAGTATTCACATATTTTATTTAGATGTAGGTATTGTGACAGGTGTGGACAATTAGACACCCAACCCGTTATCGCGACAACTCAATTGCAAGAGTGGAGCTCTATCAACTAAGTTATATTCCCCCGACCCAAGTGGAGTATGCATGAAGGAGTCAGATGCTTCTTCTATTCTTTTCCTTAGCGTAGCTGGGCCATCCTGGACTTGAACCAGAGACCTCGCCCGTGAAGTAAATCATCACACCTACGGTCCAACCAATTAGGAGAGAATCAATATATTTTTTTTCGGGAGTGATTCATCCTTCCCGAACGCAGCATACAACTCTCTATTGTACTGTGCTCTCCAAGTGTGGTTGTTCCCCCCCGTCTTCCTTATCACGTCAAGTATTTGTGAAATAACTCCGATGAGAAGAAAAAAGAAGGCGTCAAGAGACCTTCATGGATCAATCCTAGACACTCTAAGATCTTTTTTTAAACATGCTCCTGTTTCGAGTCAAGAGATAGATAAATAAACACGTCCCATTGCACTGATTTGAAACATTTGTACTGACTAATCTATTAATTCATTTTAATTTACTATAAATTTAATTGATAAAGACCGATAATTAAAAAGGTACAGAAATAGTATTAGTAAAAAATTATAAATTTAAAACTAATATAGAGTGAATATTAATTTAATAATTTACGTAATTTGCACCTGTCTCACCGTATATGTAATTAATTATTTTTTAACTTACTCAAATTAATTAAATTATGTTTAATATTGTATCCTTAAAATGTTATTTTATGTTTGTTATTGAATGTTATTTAAAATTATATTTTATTTTAATAAATATTTATTATTTTTAATTAGAATTATTAAAATATTTTATAAAAATTTACAAAATTAAAAAAAAAAAAAAAAAAAAAAGGTGTAAGTAAGAAACAAACATACGACGCCTCATTCCCATCTCTAATTCCACCATTTGATGTTTAAGAGACATGACATCTATTAGTCCTTTAGATTGATCCTCAGTGTAGTGTAGAAAGATTGACAATTTCAGTTGTACTCCTCGTAAGGTCAAAACTTATCCATTTCACCAAATCGAAAACCACAGAACTTACACATTTAAAAACAAAAAGGAGAGCAGAAGCTCGTCAGGCGACAACAAGATTCATCCGGGACTTGTTTTCTTGATCAATCA